AACAAAATAAACCCAGAGCACAAAACCCCCTAACTGTGGGAGAAACAATAGTGTGTATTAATGAACAACAATGTTGCACTTACAAAACGCAAGTTTTGTAACTGCAAGACCTCATTCACACAGCTAAGTGTCAGCCTCATTCATAAGTAAGGCCTCATTCACACAGCTAAGTGTCGGCCTGTACAGATCTTTGCGGCATGTACGTTGTTCTATCAAAGTTTGTGACTGCGTTAGAATGTGCGACCGGTGACGTGGTCACACATCTTAACGTAATCCCACCCAGTTTTTCGGCGGTGGAATGTGGCTGGTCACATGGTCACACATTTTAACGTAATCCCGCCCATTTTTTCGGCGGTGGAATATGTGACCTGCAAAAGGTGAAGAATTCCAACGCATTCTCAGCTGTTCCAGGGCAGATCGGCATTGCAGATCGTATGTGCAGGAGAACCGATCTGCCCTGGAACAGCTGATCGGTCCTGAATTTCGTGCGTACATCATGTCTGCGTCCGAGTACGGACACCCGCACGGATGTGCAGCTCGGGTGAGCATACGGCCGCGTACTCCCATAGAAAAGAACAGGCTGCTGCATATAATCCCACTGGCCACCAATTGTAAAAAGAGACCAGGTGACAGCTCCCGGGTCAGTGTGTTGCGAGTGTACTCTTAGCACAGAACAGTAGGCTGGTGTTCTGTAATTTATTTTGACCTCATAAGAATGCTGGACCGCGTCACTTCCTGTGACAATGTGCATGTGCCCTTACACTGTAATATTTCTCCACCCATAAATTTTCTCCTTGTCTTGTGGGCTGGCCCCCGTTTTTCAGCAGCGGGATCACTGACACCACCCGACGAGTGGCCTGTAATTTTCCTCAACCGCGTCTCTTACAGGTGCGCATGCACATGAAGAAAGGGCATCAGGAAAATTATAGAACAAGGGCGCATGCCTAGCATGCCTCCAACAGCTGAGAATGCGTCACAGCTGGCGTTAAGGTCCACTTTCCAGGGTGACTCATATAGGCGTTATGTTGGCGTGAAGGTGTTAAGGAAATAGCAACAATGATTTACTTACCCATATATGGCCAACTTACAACTTCTGTCCATTAAAGAGACAGTTTGAGGAATTCATCAAAACTGGAGCAGATAGAATGTGGAGCAGTTGCCCAATCAGCATCTCTCTACAGTATGCTCAGGTAAGATTTGAAAATAAGAGAGAAATGCTGATTGGCTGCAGTGCAAATCTGCTCCAGATTTTGTTTGCTCCAGTTTTGATAAATCCCCCCCAGTGTCCTTTCGCCCATTCAGGGTGGGCAGTGTCTGCTACAAGTCCACCACCCCAGCAAAATATAAAAGTGTTGCTAATTATTGCATGACTCAGTAGCCAGTGAGCTTCTAGTTGTCATTTTCTGGCAGCTTTGAAAACTAAGGGGAACATCATTTTTATTTTCCAATGACATCCAGATGCTATTGTATGGATACAATGAGAGAGCAGTACTAGAAGAATAGGAATGGAGTTGTCATAACAACCACAACCGTGATTCGAGCATTGAAGAATATTGTCCCAAAGGGCTTTCTGTAGCTGGCTGACGTCGCAGGAGTCACGTGACCGGTGTAAAGCAGCACGGGAAGTTGCCAGTGATCAGGAAGAGTTGAATAGAGAAGAGGAGGCTGCACCTGCGGTCGGTGTAAGTAGCATACGATGGTGTCACCTGTCGCCTCCCCGGCTCTGCCGCTGTACATGGCGTGTCCTGAGAGTCGGGGGGATCCCCGAGGTCTGCGGGCTGTACAAGGCCTTTTGTCATAATATCAGTATTATCAAAGTACATTTGCAGCTCGTGCACACAGGGGTTTGTTTGTGATCAGAATGTATGCTGAGCCCCCTCTGCCTCACTCAGCCCTGCCTTGGGTGCCTTCTTTTCTGCTAGCAGTCATATTTTCTGTGTACCTGGCTGTGACACTTCTGTGACATCCCGAGAATGGAGCCGAGTGCCAAAGTGATGTAACTCCTGTGCATACATGGTGAAGTTTTATCATCAGTGGAGTGGAGTTATATCATCAGCTCTGGAGTAGGGCAAACACAGAGGTATGTTGTGCACAGTTTCAAGAAGAACTCCAGGCAGAAATGTTATTAACCCTTTGCAGTGGGGCTGCCACTGCAAGTGTTATCTGCTTGTTTTTGCCTAGGTGCTTAAAAAAAAAAAATATACTCGCCTGACCCTCGGAGTGCTCCCTCCAACCTGTCTCCTTCTCCTCTGCAGCGAGGGTATGTCACTTGGTGTGCTCACATCTTTTACACTGAATTGAAAGCGAAGACTCAAGGATTCCTAGACTGCTGCAGAGGAGTGGAGGGGACGATCTAGGGACCGGTCTAAGATCAAGCCAACTCGGAGGATTTTGTGAGCATGACTTTTATTTTTTTAGCACCTAGGCAAAAATGAGCAGTTAACCCTTGCAGTGTGGGGGTCGCCCCACTGCAATCGTTAATAACAGTTCCACTTTAGCAATATTAGAGAGTACTCGCTGCACATGGTGGTTTAGTTGAATGCATTAGTAAACATTCAGTAGACCAAAGTTTTGTGACTGCTGATTGCAGTGGCTCAGTTTAAAAGGCTGTCCAGTTATCAAGATATGAAGCCATAGATTCTGATTCAAGCGTTCCCAATCATGTTAAAATGTCTTAATGGAGTGTTTTTATTTCTAATCCCAGTATTTGCTTTATGTTTTTAGCTTGTAATAGCTATCTATGCTGTTCAGTGATATATTTCTACTCTGTTTCTCTCAGTGAAATCTGTTTTGAATGTGAATCACTGTTGACGGATAATAAAAGGTTGTAAGAGTAAGTATACCGTCTTTTGGTTTTCAGCTGCCTGTTATTTAGAACATCCTTCTTTTTTTTTTTTAAAGCCCTTCTTTTATATTTTGCATAGACTTAGGAAGAGGTTCTGTGAAATTTTTTTTTATCGCTGTATGTGTTGCCACTGGAAAAGGTATTCTAACACAAGGACCAGAAATGAGGGGAATGGGTGTAAACTACACAGTGAAAAGCACACAGGGGTTGTAACCCTTCCCCAATAGTATCAAGATTTGTGTTGCTGTCCTTGTACTAAATTGGCAGCAACTGATGTGTGAAAGGCAGGTAATCCCCAGCTTTTGATGTACTAGTTCACTGTATGACAGGCTCTACTTCATTCTCCCTAAAGTTGGCATACTGTTCATGTGCAGCTCTTGATTATAGACCTTAATGGAGAGACCATCTACCTGTAAGAGCTGCTCTCTATTGAAGTCTGTTGTCCGTACATGCACAAAAATGCAGCTTTTGGAAGATGAGAACAGTGCTTTTGTAGGCCACAGCATTTGAAGCTAATGGATCTGTGAGGTTTGTGATATAGGGTGATGATGCTGGAGGGGAGCATTTAAGCAATTGCTAAACAAATGTGCACATGTCTTGTATTGCCTATGTACTTCACATAATTGGTGTTTTATTTCTATGTAGAATTTGGTGAGCAGAGTCTCCTGTTGTCTTGTTATGTCTCTTAGGAACCCTATCATAGTTATTGGCTTTGTTGTGTTTGAATGTATACACCTTTTAGGTCATTCTTTACTTGTGCTAGTTTAGGTGGACAGGAATTTCTACAAGGCAGCATAAAATTGTATAGTAAAGTGCTGTGCAAACTGTTGGCGCTATTTAAAGTGACATTAAACCCTCAGATTTTTTAACATAAACCAATACTGTAAAGTGTGCCTTACTGTAATCCATGGTTGTTTCCCTTCTCTTTGCTGCTCTTCCTTTTTAAATCTGTATCTGTTCTCATGCTGGGGCAGAACTTCTGTTTTGCAGCAGACTGCCTTGTCTCAGGAATGGATACACGTGTGTGTGTGTGTGTGTGTGTGTGTGTGTGTGTGTGTGTGTATACGTTTGTAAGGGCAAAGGGAAGTTCTTCCCAAGCATGAGAAGACATGAGGATTTAAAAGGAAGAGCAGCAAAGAGAAGGGGGACTGCCATGGATTACAGTAAGGAACACATTACAGTATTGGTTTATGTAAAAAAATCTGAGGGTTTAATGTCACTTTAAATTCTGTATAATAATAATAACTGTAATGTGGTTTAACTATTTATCACTTATTTACTTTACTATCAGTTTTGGGTAGACTCATAATGTGGTTATTTTTTTAGATTATTTTCTCTCAGTAGGAAAGGATATCATACTTTCTGATTCTATACAATTCAAATATGTTGTAATCCAATTCTACCTCTTTAAATTAGTGGAGTACAGAAAAGATGAGATGTGGGCTGACGGTAGATATGAATATGAGAGGCTTCCTAGACACCGCCTTCCTCCTCGTGACATACCTCCAGATGTAAGTATTTACATATTTTATATACTTTGCTTCCTCGGGCTTCTACAGCACCACTACATATAATATGCTTTTCACCTTTAAATGCAGGGCCAATCTGTCAAATGCCAGAGTTTATAGTGTCCTTTGACATTATGGCATTTTGAATGGAGAGGACAGAGACTTACAGGTCTATTCACACAAGAGTGAAGAGTTTGGAGAAGGCAGGAGAAGTGAACAATTTAGGACAACATAGCTGTACTGGAAAGTGAGCTGAATTGGGGAATTTATCCAAATCAGCTACTTTGGCCTAGATTGTTCACTTCTCCTGCCTTCTCCAAACTCTTCACCCTTCTGTGAATAACCCTGTTAGTTTCTTGAGGCTTTAGGGGTTGGACAGATTAAGGACAGCTTAATTACTATTTTACATTCGGTGACAAATGACTACATTCATTGTGTGTGTTACACTTTAAATTCTGTATAATAATAATAACTGTAATGTGGTTTAACTATTTATCACTTATTTACTTTACTATCAGTTTTGGGTAGACTCATAATGTGGTTATTTTTTTAGATTATTTTCTCTCAGTAGGAAAGGATATCATACTTTCTGATTCTATACAATTCAAATATGTTGTAATCCAATTCTACCTCTTTAAATTAGTGGAGTACAGAAAAGATGAGATGTGGGCTGACGGTAGATATGAATATGAGAGGCTTCCTAGACACCGCCTTCCTCCTCGTGACATACCTCCAGATGTAAGTATTTACATATTTTATATACTTTGCTTCCTCGGGCTTCTACAGCACCACTACATATAATATGCTTTTCACCTTTAAATGCAGGGCCAATCTGTCAAATGCCAGAGTTTATAGTGTCCTTTGACATTATGGCATTTTGAATGGAGAGGACAGAGACTTACAGGTCTATTCACACAAGAGTGAAGAGTTTGGAGAAGGCAGGAGAAGTGAACAATTTAGGACAACATAGCTGTACTGGAAAGTGAGCTGAATTGGGGAATTTATCCAAATCAGCTACTTTGGCCTAGATTGTTCACTTCTCCTGCCTTCTCCAAACTCTTCACCCTTCTGTGAATAACCCTGTTAGTTTCTTGAGGCTTTAGGGGTTGGACAGATTAAGGACAGCTTAATTACTATTTTACATTCGGTGACAAATGACTACATTCATTGTGTGTGTTATAAACTGCCAGGTATACAAACTATACTTCAAACCGGTCACCAAAGGTACTTTTACAATTCTAGCCACTGGTAGTCACAAATTACAGCTGAAGACCTACCGTGTTTCCCCGAAAATAAGACACTGTCTTATATTTTTTGGGGCTCAAAATAACACACTAGGTCTTATTTTCGGGGTAGGTCTTATTTTTTTTTTTAAATGTACAACAATCCACACTTATTCACGTACAAAAATATGGTGATCAAGGCAATCAGGGGTGCCGTACCTTTCCAAGAGCAATTTGCTAACCAATCGCTGGCCAGAATGAGTGAAGCGCACTTTCACTATAGATTCCTCACAGTCGGAGTGCATTTGGTATCACTTCGCCTGTGACAGGAGTCGGCGCTATAGAGGAGGCATCGGCTTATGCGGCTCTGCTTCCTCGGGTGCAGCCCCGCTTCCTCTAGCGCTGGCTTCGTTGGTACAGCTGATTCTCTCCTGCGGCTCTTCAAGTCCCCTCTTATGCCACCACCGGCCCTGGGAATCGTCACAACTAGGTCTTATTTTCGGGGTAGGTCTTATATTTTAGCAATTCCCAGAAATAGTACTAGGTCTTATTTTCGGGGTAGGTCTTATTTTCGGGGAAACAGGGTAGTTATGTCAGTTATTAGAGCAATTAACTCCATGACAAGGACGAGAGGCCACCACCTAAAATTGGTGGAAATAAAAATTTCAGCACAAGGGGCGAAGGGGTTTCTTCTCAGTTAGAGCAGTCAGGGTCTGGAACTCGCTGCCATATGCTGTGATTTCGGCTGAAAGTGTGAAATCATTCAAGAGGCGATTGGACGATTTCCTCAGGGACCGTAAGGCCCCATTCACACTTGGCGATCCGCAAATCGCGCGATTTGCATTTTGCGCGATATCGCTCAAATGCTTGCATTGAAAAGCATTGAATCGCTGCAAAATCCGCTCCAAAAAGGGTCCTGCTGTAGCGACGCACAACTCGCAACAGCAGGACCCTTTGCCCCATTGCCATGCATTGGAGAGCGATATCGCGCGGTAAATAGCCGCGATATCGCGGGAATTACCGCGCGATAAATCGCTCAGTGTGAACGGGGCCTAATATTCAGGGGTACAAGTACTCATAAGAATGAGAACACACAGATACCTATACATACGCACACATCAGTAGAACCATACACATACACACAATAGGTTGGATTTGATGGACATATGTCTTTATTCAACCTCAAATACTATGTAAGGCAAGCCATATCCACCCCCCCCAAAAAATCTCCCATCTATCCCATTTATGTTTGTTAAAAAATAATTGAATGTATTTTTAAAGATCTGTCAGCGAAATGGATCCCTGCAATCTCCTGCACAGAAGAATTCCACCTAGGAAAGGGAGGGTCAGCAGTGCCAGGCAGTAGCATTGTTAATATACTTTTGGGTGCAGGGGAGTGTTGCAGGGATTACCTCATTGGTATGCTTCTGCTCCCTAACTGTCCAGTCAGCAGGCAGAGAATACATCACCATATTCCATACCTGAAGAGAGGGGACCGGAGGGAGCTCGTGTACCGATCTCCCTCTGATCCCCTGACACAGGCACCATGCTGATCCCGGGCTCGCACCGGGCACAGCGGAGCCCGGGACCAGTGGGACAACAGCGGAGGGGGGAACCATGGGGGGGTCACCGATCGTTACCCCATATAAGCGATCCGCCGGCTCTATAGCCGGGGGATCGATTGTATGTTAACAGGCATTGCTGCCTGTTTTTAAATATCGGGCATTTCCCGTCCAGCGGCACGCGAGGGGGCGTGTCTGAGCGGACATCTAAAGACGCCCGCTCAGATCTAGAGAGCTCCCGGCCGGCCCGGAGGTAGTTAAAGTGAGTGTGGTTGACAGTGGTTACCAATTTTGAATATGATTTTACAAGCCTGGATGATAACCCAGATATGACACATTTATCAATAATGTTTTTTTCCAGGCAGTTGAGTAATAAACTGGCAAAATGTTTTTTTTTTTTTTTTTTTAATAATAATTTGCCAAAATTATAAATGATAGGGCACAGAATGTGTCAAGATATTACTAAGTGAGAGCACATTCTTCCTTTTTCCTTTAGGAAGACCAGTAATACTTTGTGCAGGCAATCCGTTTACAGGTTGCAGTGATAGAAGCAAGGGCAGGGAAATTTATTCCAGCTAACTCTGTTGGACATCTGGGGGTTTTGAGGTAGCCACAAGCATAAGGCCATGAGCCAATAGCTTCTTTTTTTTTTCTTTCAAAAAGGGTAATATTTGTGAAGTAACCACAGTGGCTAACATATTAACACTTCTATTGCAGGACATTTTAGATTTAGTTGCAGTTTATAGCCCATTTGTTCATAGTTTTCTTTATATGTTCTACTGTAAACTCCACTGCAACCGTCATGCACATAGGCGGCTAGTAGCATTCATGTAAGTGTTCTCTCTAGAAATGTTTTGTTTAGCTTCCAACATTTTGTACAAATTAATAATAATAATAATTTGCCCTTTCTGCTGGTAAGGGCAAGGGAAGAGGGCCTCTAAAGCTTCTATAGCTTACTTGATCAAGTTCGTTGTCCTTGAATCTCACAAGGTCATATGGATGAATCTTTCTTCCTTTGTTACTGCGCATTAAACAAGATCTTTGGCCACTTTGTTCCATGCCACAGCTGATCTGCAAGCCTGCAACATGGTCAAGCTTTTCCACTTTTCTTTGGCACTACTAGACCATTGTCAAGTTTTGGTGAAGCCTTTGGGAGAAAGGTCCTGTAGACGGGAAATACCTACCGGTAGCTCTTTTTCCAGTGGTCTTCCAGGACAGCAGGTTTCCCACTCTGCTTCTTTTAATATTGGGGTTTTTTTTCATAGCTTTTCCGTCTTGCGGTTCTTTGAGGGTACTGATGAGGGTGTTGGACGGACCTGATGGAAGAAGCCTCGGTCTCTCATATGCTGTCCTGGAAGATTACTGGAGATAGAATTACCAGTCTTAACTCTGATATACTTTCTGTATATTTTTATTTGTTTAATATCACAAAGGGGCTGACGGCCCCCCTACATAGAGTGACCGGTACTCTTGTTGGAGACATCCAATCTATACAGATTGGGAGATGGGAAGAACATGGATGTACAGAGAGAAAGTCTTTGGCAATTGTTTGTTTCCTGATGACCTATTTTTGTCTCATAAGCTCTTTACTTACTGATTGCTTGTTGTTAGCTGATTTATTTCCATAGCTTCTTTAAAATGTTATTAGATTCTACATTTATTTCATAACTTATTTGTTGTTGGCTCATGCTTCAGCATTGGTTAAAATTTGTTAATGTTGTGCGTCCTTTTTTAGTTTTTATCATTTTAAGGCTATTATTGCTTATATATTGCTATAATATTGCTGGTATATTTTTCTTTTGCTTATATTTATTATAAGGGTGAATATCGCAGAGTGGTAAATCTAGTTAGAAGGCCAGAAGAGGAAGGATATCATCGATATGAAGATTACAATGAACCAGAGTATAGAGAATTTGAAGAAGCCCATGGTTATGAAAGAAAAGAAGGACCATATAGAGGGGTATGTTGTTTGTTTTGAGCACCTGTTTTAGTATTTTACTGCAAAACCAGTAGTTGCCTCCACTCATTTTATTACTGATTGTGAGTGCAGTGGGGCTAATTCAATTTGCTTTTTTTTTTATTTTTTTTTTATTTTTTTTATTTTAGGCCTTCGTTAATGAGCTTTGAGCTTGTGTTGATGTTATGATGTTAGCAGTGTGACTGTAGTTTCAGATGCGTCTGAGATCATTCAGATTTCAATAACCAGTGCATTTGAAATGCAGTTGATTACCTTCTGATTTGCATTTGACTGCTTCAGGCCCTGTTCACATACATTCCTATGGGGACTGGTCATGCAATCGTGCGGCTGTGCGCAATCCGAACCGCCTGCCGCCCCAAAATGCTACCTGAGCTATTTTTTTTTTTTTTGCAATGATCAGCATGGATTTCATATAGATTTCAATGGAAACGTGCTGATCAGCGTGTTTTTGGGTGAGTTTAACTGCATTTCAGCACTGAAACGCGATTTAAAAATGCCCAAAACCGCCCTTTTAAAATTCGCGCTGAAACGCATGTGCCCTGGTGTGAATGGGCCCTCAAGCAGGTTTTGCATTCCCATAGACTTGTATGGGATTGTAAAACCAGCTACCAGCTAATAAGTCATTAATGCGTCAGGGCCAGTCATTTTGCATATACATGGCTGCTGATGAATAATTAATTTAGGGCCGACAACATAAACGGTGTGTGTGGTGCCAGCAAGGTTTAGACCAGCGGTTCCCAACCTGTGGGTTGCGACCCCTTCGGGGGTCGAATGACAATTTGCCAGGGGTTGCCGGGAGTCTCCCGCTATTAGATAGAGAAACACTTTCTCCCGGAAAGGTTTAATCTGCAGCGATCGTTTTTTTGTTTTTATTTCTGACATCGGAGCTGGGATGCAGGTGGCTTGAAGTGTCTAGCATCCTTCATTGCTAGGATGGAGCCAGCTTGTGCTGTGTAGTGTCCCAGCAACCAATAGTGCACATTTGCGCTGTACGCTTGTATGCTTTTGAATGTTACAGAAACGATTACATGCATACAGCTTAGAGACAACATTTTACGCAGGTTCAGCGTTTTATTAGGTCTGTGCATGAGCCCTAAGGCATAAATTCTATGCAGAAAATAATAGCTAGTGTGTAGCTAAATACATGTACTATACAGTAATATAATATGAAAATATAGCTACCTTTTCGGGTGGGTGGGTGTGTGTGTGTGTATCATTTATTATATTAGTCCATAAAATTATTAAGCCATTAAACAATTTTTGTAAGCCGTTCAACGTATAATTTTCTTTTCTCCCACAATGCAAAAGTTAGTAAATGTTATCTAGCAAGGCTATTCATGTACATTGCAAAGGTGTGATAAGGACAGTACAAACTGGAGACAAATATGAAAAATACAGTATCAATGTAGTTCTGTAGTCTTTAACAAAGAGTGTTTTGTTTTTTTTGTTTTTTAAATTGAAACTAGGATGTGTTTACCTGAATTTTACCTTTCTTGCAGTCTCTATACAGCAACATTAAAACTGGGAGAAGCAGGGTCAGTACTGGCAGCCAATCATGTGTGCTGCAATCAGATGTATTGGTGAGGAAGATGCTGTAATAGGAGGAGAAAGCAGAGTAAGAAAAGGGGTGACCTCCTCGGTCTGTTGCTGCTTCCTCACTGTCCATTTAGCAGGCAGGGGAATGAGTGAGCAAACCACTGATTCGCCAGATATTCAAGTCCTTTAGCAGATAAAACTGCTCCCATATTTGTATAGTAACTTTTGTATTTAAGCTGTTTGCCTGATATTCAGCTAGAATCACAGTAAAAATTTAAGTAACTTACAGCAGCAAAGTAGTAAAAAGTTGCTGGGCTAAGCAGTAGTTAGAAAAATATAGACATCTATTTGCTATTATTTAACCCTGTCGCTGCCAAGCCCTCCGGAACATTTTTCAAATCAGCTGGCCAAGCCATTTTTGAATTTTCTGCAATTTTTTCCTATTGATTAGATTTTACGTCCTTGGCAGCGAAAGGGTTAATCTGCAGTTTTAAATCATTGCAGCATCAGTATCACAAAAAGCAGAAATATGAGAAAGTCGGACAGATAGACAAAGTAAACTTTATGATTTTACATCTTAATTTGCACTCATTGAGACTTACAGAATGATGAAAGCTGTTTTAGGGATATCTCTTTTCAAACCTTATGACAATGGCTGGTCACTTGCCAAAAGAGTGGCTCATGTTGGAATGCAGAGCACCATACTTGGGAGTGTGGTGCAAAGTATAAAGGCAGACAAGGAAGCGTATTCATGATGTCATGAGGGTAGAACCACTAGTCCTAGTAACCTGATGTTAAGTATGGTGAACCGCACAATGAGGACAATACAAGCCCAGGTGTAAAACATTGCTCTCATTATACTGTTGGTGTTATCAACATACTGCAGTTGACTGAACTTTTCTTTTTTTTTTTATAGTTTGTAGGTCAGAATTAAAGTGACTCCTGCCTTTCCTCTAGCTATCACATCTAACACTAGCTGTGCATACAGGCTTCTGTTCTCGATGAATCCACTTCGCCTACTTTCATTTTTGTTTCCTTCATGTGTCTTTTTTGATTGGCTAAAATGTATTTTTCTGTTGGCTGACCTGCACCAATAGAAAGAAACAAATGCTAGTTCCAGCCATTAAGGAAAGGAGGAATTATGTAAAGACTGTCTAAAATTGCACTCTACCTTCAAAAGTCTGATTTTCAGCCTGAGACTTCACAGCTGCTGTCTGAAGGATTTCTAGAGCTTTGACAGAAGAGATGGATCAATAGGGCCTCTATACACATATACTGCTAGAGATGATACAAAAATGGATGGCAAGGTTTGTTTCAATGGCTGTTTTTATGGTGATATTGCTGTTCTATTTATAGGGTAGCGTGATGATGGACACAAAATTAAAGAAGAACTCAAACTAAAATGTTATTAACCCTTGCAGAGGAGCTACCCCTCAGGGTCAACTCCCTGCTTCCCTGGTCACTGAATCGTGTCTCCTCTGCCGCACAGATCGAATGTTCCTCAGCATCCTCACGTCTATACACTTGTATTAAACGTGATGATTAACAGAACCTTAGACTGTTGCAGAGGAGGGGGAGAGACGCTCTAGGGACTGTTACAAGTCAGCTCGGCTCGATTGATCTAGTGAGTATAACATTTTTTTTTAGCACCTAAATACAAGCAAGCAATTGACCCTTGCAATGCGGGGGTAACCCATCTGGGTTATTAACTTTTTTTTCCTGGAGTTCTAATGATGTAAAGTTTAGTTAGAAGAGAAAAGAACCAGAGCAATGAAGTTCAACCTTTCAGAGGTCCCAGGTAGGGATAAGAGAAATGGAGAATTTTTAATTTTCCTGACCTTTCAGTGAAATTCATTGGTGCCAGTGGGGAAGAGAACATTAATGTGCAGTGAGCTTTAAATGGCAGAGGATAAGGAAGTCCCATTCAGTTATCTTTGACCTATTCTTGTGACAAAGTTGGCCCCTCGTTTGCACTGCCCTACTCTGATATGAGCTATGCAGTCATTTTACCATGATATGTTTAATATATGAAAAGGATGGTACATTAAACATTTGATGAAAAATTGTTTATATGCCTCGTTCCTTAGTTGTCTCTTTACTTTATTGCAGGAAGACCCAGCGTATAGGTGGCCGAGAGGTGAAGCACACCTGAGTCGGCACGCAGAATACAGGTAACCTGCTACTTGCTTTTTTCTGTGGTTAGATTTGCAAAGGGCAACATATACATCAAGAGGGTAAAACTTGTAGCTCTATGTTGAGATTAATGAAAAATACATGGTACAAGTTTTGAGAAAAGTTTTTTTTTTTTTTTGAAAAAATAAATACAAAGATACTAAGCTCCTTATCCAATATATCACATTTTTTCATTGTACTATTGCAAAAAAATAGGCTGCTCTAAAATGCCTCAACTCTGTAATATACGCAAGTAAATCTAGAAGGTTGCATGATAGAGCCTCTCATATCCATTTTCTTGCTAACCTACGAGCACTGCCAGTTGGTTTACTTCTTCTTCCCGATATTTCATTCTGCAGATACAGGTCTCTTTCATGGCATTGATATCAAAGAGTGTAGTTCATAGCTCATAGCTGGCCTCAAGGGATGAACAAGAATGCTCTGCATAAGCATAGATTCCCATAGTGAAAACCACATGTCAGTATGATTATCAGAGACCGAGATCTAGACAGCTGAAGTCATATGTAAATCTTAGATTTTCTTTTAGTTTTAGCTTTGCTCTACCACATAACAGACCATCACATGACGAGACCAGGTTTGTGACATTGTTACTTAAAGTGATGAGCTTAATAAGAATATAAAAGATAAAAATAATTATTTCTTCTATGTAGCATATCCCTGCAATATTTTTAGTGCCAGTCTTTTTAGTGCAGCCTTGTTGAAGGCATGTGCTTTAAAAAATTGTAGGATTTTAGAACTTTGGTCATTTGATTTACTAGGTTTAGGAAGCACAACAGTTCATTTTAAAACCTATCCTTGCAGTGGCTATACCCCCCACACTGCAAGGGTTATCTGCTCGTTAATGTCTAGGGGATCTGTGTAAAGGATTTTTACTTGCCTCTCTACCCCCGCTGGCTCCCGCAGCCTCTGAGGCCCACTGCTGTCATCACATCTAATGCAATGGGGGAGTGAGAGGAACTCATCATAAACCAGCAGTTAACTTTAGTGCAGAGATAAGCCAAACTGCAAGGGGAGGTGTTTTTTTTTTTCCATATCTGATACAACTGTCACTTGGGCCATCACTGGCCTTTAACCCTTTCCCTGCCACTGACGTACGGAATACAGCGGAACACAACTGTGTACAGCTGGCCACGTCAGTATGTCATACGTTGGTGGCATTTACCGTTCTGCTATACCATGAACTTATATCAGATTGGTTTCCCTGACGGTCCCCTGTAAATTTAATAGCTGTCATCAGCGGCTGACAACCCAGCATCTGCAGCCTCACCTTTTTGCCTGGAGCCGCTCCAGGCTGGGATCTGCTTCTCCTCGGATCCAGGATCGCCGTCGGATGGCTAAGCAGAAGGATTGGTAAATATCTGTGATGTTTACAGATCCTCTGCAGAGTTAACAATGGCATGATCAGCTGATCACTCCAGTGTTTGTAAGCAACTGGGGATACAAAGTACTATGTGTCCCCAGTTATGGATGAATTGTTAGTGGTCTGTTTTAGACCCCTAATATTTCCTTAAAGCTCCCCCAGCAGCTTACAAAAAAAAAAGTAATTAGAAAATTAATTTAATTTAAAAAAAATAACTAATAAATACAAAACACAAACCCCGCTCTCCCCTCCAAACACACACGCAATAACATACACGTGCACCATATTGTGGTGTACTCCATGCACATGCACTGCTGTGTATTGTTAGAACGCATCGCAGTGCTTGATTTTTAAAAACATTTCTTTTTTAAATAACATTAATTTAACTGTGGCATCACATGGCAAAGCATTGTGACGCATTGCAGTGCGTTGTGATATGCTGAGTTGCGTTTAAATGTACGCCTGTATCATTTTATCACAACACACACCAACAGAGCTCACAAACGATTTTTTACATAAGTCGCTGATTTACAGTTTTGCATTCCTTCATTTTATTTTTTTATCGTTTTGCAAAAAGGCGCAATTTAAATTTACAAATATTTGTTCTTAACTCAATACAGTTTTATCGTTTAGATTTAGTCGGAAAAGTATTTATTTTGTGCACTGATACTGATTTTAGTGTGCTTTATCATTTAAATTGTGTATTTTTAAGCAGTTTAATATTGATTTGATAAACATTTGCACAATTATCGCAAGGCCTAACAAATTTAGTAGCATTTAGCTGGTTGCCATACTATTGTAGTGCTAGAGATGCTAAGCACACGTAAACTGCATTTCTCTATTCAGCGTTGTTTTTTTTTTTTGCATGTTTGGTACATTTTTGCACACATGAAGACATGCGTTTTGACCGGCAGGTCAAGAATCATTGTGGTCAATAGACGAGCGACCGTACAAACGCGCACAAAAATGTGCAACATGCTTCTGCCGTGCGTTTCCATTGCAGTCTATGGGGGATAAAGGAGCTGTAAACTGACGAAAAAAAGCTCATGTACTTTTTTCTGCGTTTGGCTTTTTGCTGCTCAGGTCTAAACAGAGTCCATTATAAATCATCGGATTTCTTGTGTTGGGCGTTTTAAAGCGCTTTTTCTACTGTTCACAAATGCCTCGGTTTGATCAAGATAAAACAGAAAAAGAAGCGCTCAACCTTTTGAAAAACTTAATTTACATTGTGGTATACATGGATGGAAAATGTAATTTAAAGTGTGGCATACATGTATGTTAAGTAAAACAGAATTCACTCACTGTTTAGTGCTGCTTGCAGGTGGAGAAGTACTGTGTAAAACCTGAAGGGGAAGGCTGGGGGGGGGGGGGAATTTGAACTAGGTTTTGGTTCCTTAGTTGGTT